CTTACATCTAGGGATAGTTTGCATTCTAGTCCTAATACAGTATGTTTGGCTACTTGAGGCTAAAGCATTAATTATGATGCTAGGAGAGTGCTGCAAGGGGTTATATTTTGAAGTGGGTTGATAACACGGGTACTGTGTAGTGGGACTACCCTTAGCTTCCAGTCATAATGGGCAAAGATCTTACTGGCACAGTGGGACAGAGTTGTATTTAATCCATTTCAGATTCTGTCCTTTCCACAGCTGATGTTGGTGTTCACTCTGAACCTTGCTGTATCTGACAATGCAAACTGTTATTTAGCTTGGTGTGACTGGCATGCTGATCAATAAAAGCACAAGGCTTAAAATCCAAGCAATGAGACAGTGTTCTCGGTGAATACATGAACGGTGTTCACTCATCTGGCTTAACCAGTGGCTGAAGTCAAAGTTATCAGCCCTTTTCTTTTGCAAGTGTTACATTCTCTTGGAGAGCTTCTAAGCTGAAGTCTATAAGAAATATGAAAAATCCACCCCGTTATGCAAAACAATAATATGTTTACTGAGGATGAAGTAGGATGGGTGGAAACTTTAGTTTCATGCTTATTTTGGTTGGATTTCATGTTTCATGTTGTATTTGCAAATACCAGATGTCATCTACGCAAAACCGTAATTGATTCCATCAGATTATTTAGGATGCAGAAGCAGGAATATCTTAATTCTTGGCTATATTTAGAGACTGACTGTAGACAGAGGGTTTACATTTGGTGCCTTGGTCCAAGGCATGAAAAAAAAATTTAGAATCTTTAGTTTAGCAAGTCAGTCTGATGAGATAAATTATTTTTCTGTAATTAAGTGTGAAAGTTAGTACATAACTGTGAAGGAATAGAATATTGTGAACTGATATTGAGCAGACCTTCTAGGACAGTGGTACAAATTGCACATACTATCTCCAAGATCTCAGTTTGCCTTTTAGCTTTTTCAACATTTTCATTCTTCCTGGGACCTTCTAGCTTGGCAAAAATACCAGGTGGTGAAGGTGGGCCTTTGTCCAATGGAAATAATATTTCTCTTTGGTACTCTCTATGATCTCTCAGACCATCACAACACAGGTTTAAGCTGCTTCTGCCAGTTTTCCATCTGGTTCTTTGCCTCCATTTGGTGGCATGGTTTACTAACAGTGTTATGATTTCCATTTGTGCTGATAGGAAATAGGAATAGTATTCTATTTTGCTTGACTGACTCATTCTCTTGGGGGTGGGTAGGTATTATGGCCCTCTGAGCAATCCCATAATCACGAAGGATTTCATTTTGCAGAACATCTGCTGTCCCTACTCTACAGCTGAGGAAAGGAACCCAAGGGTACAGCAACTGTTTACTATACGAGTTATGAGACAGGTAGTTCATATAAGCTGCAGAGCAAGAAAGTCTGTACAAGCCTGTGTGTATCTTCAATCCCGCAGTGCTAGAGGAATATGAAAACTAAAAAACCCTTAGAAATTTTGAGCAAGGCTTCCTGTCAGTTGTGGAACTGATGGCACAAGGATCTATTTCTATGTTTAGACAGTGTAATTACCACTTATTCCACTGGGTACTCAGGGGTAATTATTACAGAAATCCCCTTGTGCACAGAGCAGTATCTTGGGAAGAGAGCTCAAAAAGGAATAACTAATGGAAAAATCATTTGGTTTATTACATTTAGACCTGGGCAGCCCTATTGAATACTGACTACAGTCATTTCAAATTCCACAGAATGCCTCTAGAAGATGAAAAGAAGGTAATTTTCTGAACAGTTGCACCTCCCTGACTCTCCACCTCCTGCAGAACTTGTGCTAAGGTTTTGGAGTGTTTTCCTCAGAAATTCCCAAGGTGTTGGACATGGCACAAAACACAGGCTGTGTGTTCAGTCATTTCAGTGGCTCTATTGATGTCTATCCTCTGATGAAGCAAGAGCAACACTTTTTTTTT